CCGCTACCTCCCAGAAGCAGGGGCCAGAACTCCATGCTGCACTGCCCCTCCCTCAACATGGGGCTTCTGGCTGAGTTCCACCCCTCACCCCCCGCTCCTGCCCTGTGGCCCGACCTCCTTATACCTGGACTCTGTAGTCCATGAACCTCTGTGGTCCTGTCTTGATTAAGGGAGGTCTGAGGCAAGCTCCCAGTGAAGGGGTAGTCCAAGGCATGCTCCCTCAATGTGGATGTGCTGCCTTGACTTAGAGCACTGGGGAGTAATTATTCTGAATGATTGTGGGGAGTAGTTATTTTGAAATAGCAGCAATTAAGCACCCACACTACTGCTATTTCAAAATAACTATTTTGAAATAAGTGTTATTCCTCATGGAAAGCAGGAGTTTTTATTTCAAAATAACTAGCCTGTGATTTTGAAATAGCAGGCTTGTTATTTAGAAATAAGGGGAGTTATTTTGAAATAACTTCCTAGTATAGACCAGGGCTAAGAGATGGCCTAGAAATTGTGGGATAAACTTCTCTATCACACAGAGGCATCCCAGGAACCACAAAGCTGCAGTCAGTCTATCTAATCTGTGCACATGGGTTAAGGTTGTTTCAATTCATAATAGTCTCAATGTGCTACTATGGAACAGCTAAGGTTGTCTGACCTTAAATGTGCATTTTCATACTTTTTGCTTTCCGAGTTATACCTGGTAATTACTATGGTTTCAAACTTTTTTTCAGGATGGGAGGGGAAGTTAATTTGGGGTTATCATGAGTGTTTCGGCTGAAGTTTTAGATTTTTTTAACCGTAATATTAAAATTACTGGAACAGCATGGAAAGGGTATGATTAAGGGGGGAAATGATAGAGGTCTATAAAACCATGACTGGCATGGAAAAAGTCAATAAGGAAGTGCTATTTGTTCCTTCATGTGACACAAGAACCAGGAGTCACCCAATGAAATTAATAAGCAGCAGGCTTAAAACAAGAACAAGGAAGCACTTCTTTGCACAACACACAATCAACCTGTGGAACTCATTGCCAAGGGATGGTGTGATGCCAAAACTATAACTGGATTCAAACAAATTGGATAAATTCATGGAGGACAGGTCCATCAGTGGCTATTAGTTAAGATAGTCAGAAATGCAACCTCATGCTTTGGGTGCGTGTACGTGTCTGACTGCCAGAAGCTGAAACTGGGTGACTGTAGATGGCTCATGTGATAATTGTCCTGTTCTGTTAATTCCCTCTGAAGCACCTGGCACTGACTAGTGTCAGACTGATACTGGCAATGCTTTTTTTGTGACGGTACAGCCTGGAATGGCGTACCGTCACCTATTTTCCCAGCATACCATAAATGAAGTGCATCTCCCCTGTGCATACCAGCACTAGTTTTCCTGACGGAAGCCTTCTCATGACATGCGGTGGCCTTTTTTTCAGCTCCCAGACTGGCATTTTGGCTCTTAAAGGGACCGTGACTGCATTTCAGTTCCTAGCACAGCCCCCCCTTTTTTTGTTTGTTTGTTTTGTTTAACAACTTTGATTTACAAAAAAAGCATGGACCATTGGCTTGATCCTGTATGGTTGTTCTTATGTAATTAGGGCTTCACAAAGCATTTTTGGGTTGGTATTTTTTATTGGTCTGTGAATTTCCTTACATTTTAAAAGATGAGTAAGAATTGGTCTCTGACAGGAATTCCTGCAGATTTTACAAACCATGCTAAGACCCCAAATCTTGCAAACCTTACAGAAATGCCCTTCTCAGACAACCTCCCTCTCATTCCCAGTGCTGGAGTCACTTTCCCCTCTCCCATGATTCCCATTTGAACCCCAATTATTCTTCATACGGTTCCTCCATATATTCATCAGCTCCTACAGAGTCATGCAAACTTTGCAGAGCATAGATTAAAATGATGTGTGGATATGTGTAGTGTACAATTATTTCAAGGCCAAGTTTTTCAAAAGTGACTGATTTGGAGTGTCTCCTTTTTCGAATGCTCAGCTTGATGCTCAACTGCTGGCCCATGAGACTGATGACGTGTATGAGAGGCAAGGTAGATGAGGTAATACCTTTTATTGGACCAACTTCTGGTTCTGGGAGAGAAATAAGCTTTCAAGCTCACACAGAACCAGACCTGAAGAAGAGCTCTGTGTAAGATGGAAAGCATATTTCTCTTATGAACAGAAGTTGGTCCAATAAAAGGTTTTACCTCACCTACCTTGTCTCTAATATCTGGGTTCAGCATAGTTACAACACTGCATGAGAACATGTACAGCAGGCCCTGGGCTCCTTTCCACAAATGTATTTAGGAGTCTAACTCCCATTCATTTCAACTAGTGCCTTGGTTCTTAAGGAGGTTTGCTGGAGCAATGTGACATGTATGCTTTTTCCATCTAGTGAGTAATTTGTTTTTTTAACAACGCTTTTGACCCCATAGTGGAAGGGACCTGCCGTAAGTAATTAAGTCTGCAGGAGCAGGGCTGCTTACTTTTCATCACAGCAGATAATCAGAATGCTGCTGCTCGAGTGTAAAATGCAGAGATAAATGATCCCATATTAATACAGATTGGAGTTTTCATTCCAAAATCCATCAGTGCAGAAGGACAAAAGTAGGGAGCCAAGTACCCATGCTGGAATTTCAGTGCACAGGATCCTTAACATATTTTGAGAAGCAATCTGAATACACAACAGAACAAAATTAAATAATCTAATATGTAAAATGACTAATTAGATCAGCACTCTATGTAGGTAACCTCCATCATTGAAAGACACATCGTTGTACACGTACTGCAGTTGGTTTTGAAACTTGCAACCCCCAGGTGTTTAATAAAGCAGAAATTTTTGTCATCCATACACAGAATAAAATTGTGTATTATCCAGGAGAAAGTGTAAATCCATAAGACACTATTTCAAAAGTTTGACTTCAGATTCACATTTCCTATATCAGTATTGCTCTAACTTCCAGCTTACTAGAAGTTATAAGATGATCCAATAAATTGCTTGTTTGGCCTGGAAATTTAATATTATTGTTTGTTGTTACTTGTACTGCAATTGTGCTTAATGCCTCAAACAAGACTGGGCTCACATGGTGTTAGGTGTGTACAAATGTAGTAAGAGATACTCCTTGGCCTAAAAAGTTCATTCAATATAAGGAAAGAAAAAAGAGAGGGTGAGATAGACACAGCATACAAGCATAATGGTCAAATTGGTGAGAAAAACACATATTGTTAGCTCCATTTGTTCTGGCTGGGGCAGATAACATATAATAGGTAGAGGCAAGGCATATTATAAAAATGCATATGATATTTACACACATTAGATATTAAATGCAGGCAACCGAAAAATGCCACATTCTGCAGATTCAGATTTTTTTCTCAATGATGTGAATCAGTCTAAAGTATTGAACTTACCAGCAGTCAGATGCAAAGCCAGAGGCATCACTACAATTTAGAATGATCATAGAATCATAGGACTGAAAGAGACCTCAGAAAGTCATTGAGTTAAACACCCTGCCCAAAGCAGGACCAACCCTAACTAAATCATCCTAGCCAGGGCTTTATCAAGCGGGGACTTAAAAACCTCTAGGGATGCAGATTCTACCACTTCCCTAGGTAACCCATTCCAGTGCTTCACCACCCTCCTAGTGAAATAGTTTTTCCTAATATCCAACCTAGACCTCCCCCACTGTAACTTGAGACCATTGCTCCTTGTTCTGCCATCTGTCACTAATGAGAACAGCCTCTCTCCATCTTCTTTGGAATCTCCCCCCTCACTTTTCTCTTCTGCAGACTAAAAAAGCCCAAATTCCTCAGCCTCTCCTTGCAGGTCATGTGCTCCAGCCCCCTAATCATTTTGGTTGCCCTCCGCTGGACCCTCTCCAATGCATCCACATCCTCTCCGTAATGGAGGGCCCAGAAGATGGTTATCAAAAGGTAATTCATTGTCTATTTACAGTAGACTCTTTTATTCTGGGTGCATATTTTAGTCACTTTTTGCCTCTCTTTTACTAGGCCTATTTCAACAGTGTCCTTAGGACTCTATTGCCTCATTCTTTCTCAAATATTACTGCATCATAGAATCATAGAATACTAGAACTGGAAGGGACCTCAAGAGGTCATCAAGTCCAGTCCCCTGCCCTCATGGCAGGACCAAGTACCATCCAGATCATCCCTGACAGATGCCTATCTAACCTACTCTTAAATATCTCTAATGATGGAGATTCCACAACCTCCCTAGACAACTTATTCCAGTGCTTAACCACCCTGACAGGAAATTTTTCCTAATATCCTACCTAACCCTCCTTTGCTGCAATTTAAGTATATTCACTACCTGATTTTGGTTATTCCTTTGCACCAAAGCCCTCTGTGCTCAGGTGGTCCCAGTCCTTTAATGATTTTTCCAAGAGTAATGGGGTTTGCTTCTTCAGAAGCCATGGCAGCCATGGGATCAATGGGTGTCTTTCTGTTGACTTCAAAAGCCTTTGGCTCTAGCTCATTTGGGATCAAGAGCATTATCAATGTCCTATGCTCTTTATTCATGTCTTGAACTACAAATAAAAGAGGAGCTTACCTATGACACACTCTTTGGTAAGCAAACAATCTATTGGTGCCTTGAGTTTCAGGGGGTAGCCAAGTTAGTCTGTTACAGAAAAAAACAACAAATGGTCTGGTAGCACTTTATAGACTAACAAAACAAGTAGGCTACGTCTAGAAGTTTTGCCCAAACAGGAGCAGCATAGTATTTCCGCAAAAAGCACTGATTTCTTACAGTAGGAAGTCAGTGCTTTTGCGGAAATTCAAGTGGCCAGTGTAGACAGCTGGCAAGTTTTTCTGGAAAAGCAGCTGATTTTCTGGAAAAGCAGCTGAAGTTTTTCTGGAAAAGCAGTCCAGACAAAGCCACTATGTATACTGGTCCTGCAGAAAAGCTAATGAGGAGGCAGGACTTCATCTTTTCACGGGCTGATGAGACGCAGCTCTCTCTCAACTGATACACGGTAAATACCTTCCTCAATATTTGATAGGTGCCTTAGTTTTCCTTTATCTAAAAATGTGGATAAGTATACTGTTCTTCTTTGTAAAGCTTTGTTTAGCTCTGCAGATGGTATTAATTATTAACATTATTTTACTATTATTATCTGTGTCTTTATGCTTTGGTGCAGTTTCTCAATCATATTGCCAGTTATTTTGGTAGGCACTTTGTTTCTGCCTACATGTGAGACACCACCTGCTCCTAAAAGGATCTCTCAATCTCTCCCCTCACAATGAACTCTGGAGACAATGTCACATGATGATCAGATTGAGATCGAATGATGCACCAAGTTGTATTGTTTAAAAAACTTTAATCTTCGTCTTATCTGCTTGCTGACATAATCATCCTGCTTTGCAGAAGATGAAAAACAATCATTTGCAATCACAAAATGGTCAAAAAGTGATTTTTTTTCATGCACTCGCTCTCTCTCTCTGCTCTGTGATGTATTTGAAATTGGTGAAAAGGGGTAATTTGTCACTTTGCTGTAGGTGCATTGTTTTGGCACAACTCTGAACCCTGGCAGAAAGAGCTCAACATGTCTAGAATGATGCTTGTTATACAAATGTAGCCACATCTCCACACTCACGTCTGCTGTATGTAGTTGTAAAAGAATATGACTCTGCTGCATACATCTGCTTCCATTTGACACACACAAAAAACCCAAGGCATTGGTGTTGGCTTGTACATCATAACATTGTGAGTTTCATTATAATTATGTGGCCTAATGTAAGCCCATGAATTTGCAATGATGAACTCTGTAGCAGAGGACCTGTACTGTACACTTCAATTTTCACTTCAGCACAGTTACATTCCATAGCAAGTTTTGCTTTGTGCAGCATGATTGATTCAGTGGATTTGCGTGCAGGGTCTACCAGGTCAGATTCGACTGCTGAAATTCTACAGTGTTGGGCTGTCAGAAAGCCTGCAAACCACATTTTGAACATTATTAATGTACTCACCCTGAACATCATGTAATCAGAAATGTAAGTCCATTGGAAATACAGTTTGAAATAACTATTTCTTTAAGTAAAACTAACTAGTGAGAGAAGATGATTTTAAAGACAAACAATAAAAGGAACATTTGACCCAACACAGGTTGACACAAATTCAACCCTGGTGTAAATTCACTGTTGTGAGGCAGGTGGTCTGCATGACATTTCCAGCCCAATCAAGAATGAAAACAATGTAAAGGGGAATGCAATCAGACCCAGTATCACTAAGCTCTCTGGCCCAGATTGTTGCATAAAGGTACAGTCTGAGTAGGAAAATATGTGGGACTGTATCACCTGCCTCAGACATGATTAAAAGAATTGGCAGAGGAACTCTTGGAACCACTAATGTTGATTTTTAACAAATCTTCGAACACTGGGAAAGGTCTCAGGGGCTGGAGAAAAGTTAATGTTGTACTAGTACAGTATTTACAAAGGGGAAGTGGTAACTATTGGATGATAGCCTGAGATTGATCTTGGGAAAAATCATGAAAAGGCTGATCTGAGATGAAATCAGTAAAGAACTTAATGACAGGTAGCGTAATTAATGCCAGTCAGCATGATTTTATGGAAAATGGGTCTTGTCGGGCAAATTGATAAATTTTCGCTGAGTTTACAAATGCAGCAGCATTGACATAATATACTTAGACTTCCATAAGGCTTTTGGCATAAGGTATGTCCACACTGTATTCAGAAGATGTGAGTGCAGCATGTGTGCACTTTCCTTAGATAGCTTTAATCTAGGTGGTCAAGACACAAGAGCAGCAAAGTTGTCAGAGCATGGACTTCAGTGTGACCTAGCTTCCTGAGTAAGTACCCAGGGCGCCAGACAGGTTTGTGCTATACTTCCATAACTTCAGTGCTGTTTGTATCCACAGTAGCCAGACTAAAACTAGTCCAGGTATATCTGCACATGTTGCACTCACACTCCCCATTGCAGTGTAGACATAACTTCAGTCCCCATGCTAAAAATAAATAACTCTATACAAAAATTCATGTAGTCATATTAAATGGATTTCAACTGGTTACTTGATAGATCCCAAAAAGTAATTATAAATAGGGAATCATCATCCTATGGATATTTCTAGTGGGGTCATGTGAGGATCTGTTTTTGTCCAATGCTATTTAGTATGTTGATTGATGGTCTGCAAGAAAACATAAAATCACTGCTGGGATAATTTGCAGATTACTCAAAAACTGGAAGAGAGGCAAACAAAAGTGCTGGTTTGAATAATACATTTTAAGATGTTCAAATGCAAGATCACACTTTCAAGATGGGAGATAATATTTTGGAACACAAAGACTCTGAAAAGGACTTTGAGGTAATGGTGGATATCTAAAGCTGAATAGGAATGGAATTTTTTGCCCAACTGCAACTCGGCACCATCAACTGCCAACCAGGACATGCCCAGGGCATGAGCTACTAAGGAACCTGCTTAAACCTTTTAGGTCTGAAGCCAATGTGACTAGGAGACGAGTGCTGCCCTAAAAGCCAGGGACTCTAAAAACTTCTATACCACTAACTCTGCAGCAGCCTGCCAGATGGGTTGGAACTCAGAGCTGGGAGACCGAGAGTACGAAATCTGAAGTATCATGCCCATCAGGCTGCCCCAGACCTAGGGAATCTGGAAACCTTGGGCTTTTCTGATCAGATATTTTTTTAGCCCTCATATTTTTCCTGTTTTCAAACCAGCACTCACTCTTTCTAATGCCCCACTGCTTCTTTAATGTAAAAGAATAACAGAGCTAGGCCAATGTCTTCCCTGATCCATCAACAACTGTGGGCAAATCCTCCAAAAATGTATTACTAAGTGTCAGCAAATTGAACAACAAACTGCATTCCAGCTATGCACAGTGTGCTCACTGTTCTAGCAGCAAATAACACCACCCTACATGCCAGTTGCTTTATTTAAAAAGGTGAATTAACAGTGTTTGTGTATGTGTGTGTGTGTGATTCTTACAGCATTTTTTTTCTTTTTTCCATGCACATATATTTGCTTATATTACTTGTTATTTTTGATAGGTGATTCACAGACTTTTATTCACATCCCTGTTGTGTGGTTTTTTATATATTTTTTGATAACTTTAAGTTGTCTTGTGAACTTTTTCTTTATAAAAAGATGCTGGCTAATGAAGTAAGTTTCATCGAGCTTTCAGAAAATGAAAATAGTTTTCATTTCTAAAAATCATCCTTATTAACTAAAAGTCCTTCAATATTTTGTGCAAAAGGAAAAGAATGCTAGTTTTATCAAGATCAGACTTTTTAGTTAATAGGGCAGGGTATTTTATTTGCACAAACAAAAAGAAATCCAGTTCATAAGGCTCAGTATCTTGCACAGTGATTCTTGAGCTGAACAGTTTCAGATGCATTGAATGTTTTACTCAAATATGATTTCCAGCAGCCAAAATATTTGCAAAGGAAAGTGGCTTGAAGAAACATATTCACTGAATGCTGACTAAAATTCAGCACCTTCCTTGAAACTTTTAGATTGTTTGGAATTGTTTTTCATATACTGACTTCCATTATCTGTCTAGGCACAGCAGCGACAGACATGGGGGGAAAAGGAAGTTTAAATGTCAGTAGCCCCCCACATAAAGGGCATTTTAAAAAATCAGAAATGGAAAATAATCTTTAAAAGCTTACCGTATGATTGTTATTATCATTTATGTTTCATCACTCACTAGAGGTAGCAACAGAACATCTTATTTCTTCAAGGTAACTTTTTATTTTATAAAAGTAATCTAGAGGCGGATACTAGTTCAAATAAAACTTTCATGTCATCCTCCATAGGAGTGCAGGAGAGTTTGTGTTCTAGTTTTTCCAGGTCACTTTATCAGAGTCTATAACAGCAAAGACAGCATTTCTAAATTGCCAGAAAGATCCCGGTTTAGGGCATTTATAGAATAAATCAGTCTTTTCAATTAGGACGAAAACAACCACTACACAATAGCCTTTCTAGGCTCACAAACTACCATACCACCCAAGATGTTAACAAGCTGGCATGTTTTGAGCATCAAAGATAGAGAGGAAACTGTGTTTACATGTTTGGCACAAAAACTAATGAGGAAAGTCAATTGGCCCTTTGTCTTGAGGGTCTGAAGAGCTGAGCTCTAATGTTTGGTTTCTTGGTTGGCACTTGTTCAAGTAATCACTCGTGGCCTGACAAAGCAGCACTTGTGTTTTATTAGTGGCCATGCTGAACTCTCCTGTCTGGGCTGTGTTGTCTTTCAATAGAGTGCTGCACCAGAGGGCATACTTATTTGAAAACACTAAATCAGAGCATGATGATCTTTGTCCGACAAATGCAATTAAGAGAAGAGAACAAAAATGTTTACAGTGACTCTCCTTTTGCCAAATGGAGGTGGACAGACAAAAACTAGAGGGGAAATGGCCATGACAAAAGTATCAAAACTTTCTTCGTATACATTGGGCAATATTTTTAGAACCTGTTGCATTCCATTGTGAAGTATCTTTAAAAACAATGTGATGGAAAGGCTATTCTTGTTACTGTATGCAGCATGGTCATAAGCATTTTGCATTTGCATTCCGTATGGTCTCAGTGGAAACCATGTAGGTGCATAGAGAAATAATACATTTTAAGAGGCAGGGAAGTACCATTTCCTTTTCTTGAATCAGAGGAGTGGCAAACATCAGCAGGTTTGTAGATTATTGTCTCGTTAAACTCAGAAGCAAATTTTTGGTATTTAAAGAATCCTGCAAAAATGAGCTGGAAACATCATGGAACTTGGACTTTCTTATGAAACTGCTGGTATATCCTGCTTCTCTTCAGGCAAAAATTAATACAAAGTCAGAGTTGTAAACCTTTATGCTTGGTCATGATTCCATAGATCACAAGAGAGAATCTCATCGATAAGGGTTTGCAGAGTGTCTACAGATGTATTCATGGCATCACTTTCATATCCAGGCCACAGATGGAACCAGAGAAATACTAAAATGAAAAATAATGTAGAAGTTAACAATGTTTTAGAAACATCAGTGTCTGACTTACACGAAAAATTGGGTATTTAATCCAAACCATATTGCTCCTTCCTTTTGGAATCTACTTTTTCACATCTTTAAATTTATAGACATTGGATTTTCCCTGTGAATGTAAGTATGAGTTTGAAGGAATCCCTTAGTTTCATAAATGACTCTGGGAAGAATATATTAGCCAGATTAGGTCCTGAACCAGCAACCCTTCAGCAAATGTTTAACTTTACTCATTTGACTAGTCCCATAAACTTCAAGTGACTAGCTATACACGAGTAAAGTTATGCACATGGTTAAGTATTTCTATGATTGGTACTTTACAGAAGGCTTTTCTTAAAACTGAAACCATCAGCAGTTTTATCAGTTGAATCTGTTTGAAATGTACTTTTAAAAGGACTGAAAAAGTCCTTACTAAATATGGTTCTTTTTCAAGGACAATTTAATTAAATCTAAATGAAATGGGTATATAATTTGTTAATTCATTACACATACAGAAAAAAAGCACATATTTTAAAGTTTAGAATATATGGCATATAATTATGTAAATTTCCTTCTGCAAAGATTGTGAACTATGTCAGGGCTTTAAGTACATTATAGGACTATATTTGTGTTGGGAAAAAGAGCACATATTATATTATATTATATTATATTATATTATATTATATAGTGATGGACTATGGTCACATCATGGTAGGACAAACTCGGAACAAAAAAAACAGTTCCTGCCCCAAAGAGCCTTAAATGTTATGATATACCAGAAGTGATATTTAGATAAAGTTAGAGCAAGTAATACAGAGCACTTTGATATTCTATTCTCCTGCTGATAAAATTACAATATCAGTTGCACAGTGTGGAGTGTAGATAGTAAAATCACACAGTTTTCCTTTTAGTGAGGTCCTTTAAGTTGCCTTCTGTACATTCAGAGGCTGGACTATATACCAAGAGCACAGTTAGTGCTACTATTCCAAAACTCTGTGCAGGATTTGGTCATATGTCACAAAGATGCTGGTAAAAGTTCAGTGGTTTAAGCCCCAAACATTCCCGTGAAAATTCCTCCTAATGTCCAAATTGATAGAATCCCAATGTTTGAATCAATTTCTCAGAATAAATTTTATCATGCTCTAAAGCAAAATTTCTTTCTATCCCTCCATGTCTGTGGTCAAGTAATCCCTGTATGTAGAAACATGAAACCTGAATGAGTAAATGCAATACATAGTTGATGCTGAACCTTTTCTTAAAAAACTTGGGTTCTATTGATTCAGATCTGTCAATACTTAAGTTTACCTAGGAGAAACAGTTTTCACCAACTATGCTTTTGTTTTCTCGTCTCCAATGTTGCCATTTATTTCAGCAACTATTTTGAAAGGATTTTTTAATGTCTCAGGAGTTTTTTTGTTGTCTTTAGTGTAGTTCACTATTTCACATTGATCTGGGGCTCATCATTAACTCATGCACTCCCTGCGGTGTGATGTATAAAGGGATTTTCAGTATTCAAAATCTCCTATTTTATTCATTCCAAATTTAGGTCAGTGTATTAGTTAATAGCAAAATAAAATTCGGAAATATATGTACATAATATTTCTGTGGCAAACATAACATTATTTAAAAAGAACTTATGTAAAAGATTTCTGATGATTAAACACTGGAGACATTTCTCAACAATTTATAAAAGAATAACCAGGTAGTGATTATTTGCTTGCTTAGCTGCACTGAATTACAAATACAAATTATTCATAGTTATTGTACAGCTCCAGCCATAGTAGATACACTTAACAAATTTCAGATGTAAATACTGTACTACACCATAAAATTCTACAAGTCAGCACTTTGCATTTTCCACAATGCACTATCCAGTTTTAATATACTTATGTCTTATTTTTATTCTTTGTTTAAAATTCGGGTAAATATTTACAGGGATACGCTGAATTTCTATATTGTATTTTAAACCAACATATTACATGATGTTATTATCTACAAATGTTTTTATAAATTGCCAATAAAACTACAAATACAAATGGTTTTATAAATTGCTAATTTTCTATGGACACCAACATTTTGAAATGAAGAACATCAGACTGGACATACTGGGTCAGACCAATGGTCCATCCAGTCATGTTTCTTGTCTTTTGAAAGTGTCCAGAGCCAGATAAAAAAGAGGAAATGAACAGAACAGGGCAATTTTGTATGAGCTATCCCATGTTGTCTACTCCCAGCTTCTGGCAGTTGAAGAACTCAGAGCATAGGGCTGTGTCCTTCACCATCTTGCCTAGTAGCTACTGGACCTGTATTCCACAAACATATCTAATTTTTTTAACCCAGTTATATTTTTGGCCTTTACAACATCGTCTGGCAATGAGTTCCCTAGGTTGACTTTTATCTGAGGCCGTGTCCAGACTCAGGGGTTTTTTCGGGAAAAGTAGCCTTTTCCCGAAAAAACTTCCCCTGCGTCCAGACTCAAGCCGTGTTCTTTCGAAATAATTTCGAAAGAACACGGCTTTTCTTTCGATGGCGGTAAACCTCGTTTCACGAGGAAGAACGCCTTCTTTCGAAAGTTCCTCTTTCGAAAGAAGGCGTTCTTCAATGTAAAGAGGCCGTCTTCGAAAGAGAGCATCCAGACTCACTGGGTGCTTTCTATCGAAAAAGCGGATTTCTCTTTCGAAAGATCCGCCTGCAGTCTAGACGCGATCTTTTGAAAGAGGCTCTTTCGAAAGATGCTTTTGAAAGAGCCTCTTTCGAAAGAAGCCTGCAGTCTAGACATAGCCTGAGTGTTTCACTAAAATGTTAGTTAGGGCCTATTCCTCTAGTCCTTACACAGGGGAAATACAAAAAGGGCCAAGTACTGTAGCAGCCACCCAAGTAACACTCCCTGTCATTATAATGGGAGTTTTACTTGTATAGAAAAAATAGAGTTTGGCCCTTGTAGCTGAATCCTTCAATCTCTTATTACTAAGCACAGTGCTTACTAGATTAGCTTCACTGAAACCAATGTGATCATGATATGGCACAAGCTAAAATGGGTGGCAAAGTAGTAGAACTGCTTAAAAAGATTCACATCAAATCACTGATTCTGCAGGATTATCTGTGAGGCTATCCTGAGTAGTAAGAGTTTACAGGACCGGGCCGTAACACCTCAAGTTTGCAAGAACTCATACACGTAGATTCCTGTGCCCATGCAGAAATTTCTCCCTGTAGGACAAAAGACTTACTGATAAAACTTGAAATATGAAAAAATATCCACCTATTCTCTCTGATGGCTCCTGCCCTGTGCCACTGGAATGGTAGAACAGCTGAGATGGTAGAATTAAAGCAGTAAAATATCTTTCCTTATACATGTTTACGTGGCAGGAAAGAAGGCTTGGCACATGTAAATTTCTGAAGAGTGAATCTCCATCTGCAATATGGTTCTAGATGTAATCGTAAATATGACTCTGGTTATGGATATTTTAGCTCTGGGACATACTGTATGTATCTGAATTAAATGAAGGCAGGAACTCGGCAGTGTTAGATCAGTGGGAGAGCAATGGTGTTTTTTTGATAGAGAAGTTCAGAGTCTCAGCCTGTTTAGGAAAAACTGAGACTTTTATGAAAATATCTGCAGTGTGAAATTGGATACGTTGTTTACTTAACTAGCACAAATGTCCCTTTGGTTCTTAATTGTGCACTAATTTCTGGTGATATTTGAGACTCTTTCCTAAGCATTCTTAAAAAATGTGTTTGCTTTCTGTAAATATAATAGTTCTATAAGCGCATAGCAAACTTGTTGTCACTTGGGTGTAATCCTGCAATGCTTACTTAAGCAAACCTCCAATTGACTTTAACATGAGCTTTTCCCTGAGGACAAATTTTGTCCTTTGACCTACATTTTCAAAGCTAGGTCCCTGAAGCTAAGTTGCTAAATCTGATGTTCAGAGCTGCCTACAAATCCCACCGGAGTTAAAGAACTGCTCAGCACCTTCAAAACTCGGATCATTTTTATTGAGTTGCCTAAATATGGATTTAAGAATCCAGTTTTAGGCATAAGGTTACAACATTCTGGCCTTTGTGTCTGAGTTTTTTTCAGCCAGCTCTTTACTACTTGTACTTAGTCATCCTTTTTACTTCAGCCTGTAATGGATTTTTACTATTATAATTAGTAACCCTTAAACATTCCCTTTACACAGTAAGTCCAGTTTTCAGCTCAAAACCACATAAACATCTTCTGTTCTTACAAATGCACTGAAATGAACTTCATTAGGTTCTCATTATGTAGAAAGTCCGGGTGATGAATTTGCAGAGATATATTTAAAGCAGTCCTATAGTCCAGATGACATGCAGAACAACATTTTTAATGGACGGTACCATGTTTTATGCTACCATGTTTTATTTTCCATGGCAGAACAGCTGTTGAAATTAACAGACACTGGATGTGTAGGTCAAGGCTATTATGTTGTCTGTCAGGTTCTGGGGGTGCAATGCAGACGAGAATGTGGTTATTTCACCAACTGCCTTGTTACCCTTAGTGTTGGAAATGCCCTGCTGCTGTGAAAGTCTGCTGAGAGGGGAGGTCAAAGGGGGGGGCAGCAGTCGGAGCCCCAGACCATTTAAATTGCTGCCAGAATGCCAGGTGGCATGCTCTGTGCAGCACCGAGAGCTGGGAGGGGAGCGGCTTGGTGCTCTCCTCGTGACACTAAGGGCTGCCTAGACCCAGCCCCACTCCTTCCACAGAGGTCTAGAAGGGCATCTCTTACCATGCCAAGAGGCCTGTCAAGGCTGTTAGCCTCACTGCTGCTGAGGCTCACAACCAGAACTGCAACAGCCAAGCATACAGGTCATACTCTGAGTGTCAGTATGCTCTATATCCATGGATCAGTACCTCTGACTCCAGCAGCCCACCAACAGCACAACAACTGGGTTTTCCCCCCTTGTGCCCTAAGCCCCTTCTGAGGCCACTTCAAGAAATAGTAAGGTTTGTTTGCTCCT